CCTTTTGACTGGATTCTATATGACCTCCATACAGTAAAGCGCTAAAATTTATACACAATATTAGCTTTAAAAATGCCACAACCAGTAAGAGATAATATTGTGTGGGCTACAAAAAGCGAGTTTTCATTATAAAACTTTTTACAAATTTAACCTCGTTTAGTTTGATAAGATTAGATCATAATGAACTGCTATATCATTCATACATATAGTATATCAGTTTATCACTTGTTTTACAAGAATTAATTAATAATGTCATGAAAATTTATAAGTAGTAATTGTTCATATTAAAATCGATTTATATTAAGAAAGTAAACAAATAATTATACTTTTTTTTTGAATAACATTTACAAAAACATTTAGAATGGTTGATTAGAAAATTGGTGATACCGTAAAAAAATAGCAAAAAAAATTAATTAATAAATGAAAAAAGTTTAACAAAGATTTTCGATGATATTGTATAACGTAATGATTATTAAGGTATTATTATAAATAAGGAAATATGAATTCGATTAATTATAAGATTTAAATACCTAAAATATGCACTGCGTGAGGCTAACACAACATGATGGGCGTGGAATTTTTCATTATTTACAACTAAAACAACATCCGAAAACCTAAAATAAATATTAAATTTATATATCCCATTAATTTGATAAGAATATTACTCAAGTCAAAATGTTTGAAATGATAAATATTTAATTAATCAATTTAACATTTAACAATTAAAATATAGATACTACGGTAGATTCTAATGAATTCTATAATAATCATACTACCTAATCACCTAACAAACTATCATGGTTTTATGACCTCTCCCTACCAAGGAAAGAAAAGAACTGCTTCAGTCGTTTGAGATCTAGTCATAACCTACTCCCATATCACATCTCTCGTATTCCCCATTTAGCCCTCGTCACGACGATGAATTTGCCGTTGACTTCACTCATCTGCTCTCGTGTCCTGCCATTTCCCATTTTCGGGTCCCTCTCTAAAATTGTATAAGACTATTAGAAACACACCACTCGTGAAATCTGTGCAAATCTTCTTGAAGATTGAAGCAGTCATTTATGGATTCAATATGCATGAATATTTTTACGTCATCAGCAAACAGCAGAAATCGTAATGTTTGAAAATACTAACAAGGTCATTCATAAATATTATAAACAATAAAGGTGACAAATGCCCACCTTGTGGGACCCCAGAAGTGACTTTATGACTAGATGAAATAATGTTTCTTATTTTAACTTGTTGTTGTCTACCAGTAAGATAAGACTCAAACCATGATAGCATGGGTTCCCCCATATGATACATTTTTAATTTATGCACTAGGATGGAGTGATCTACGGAGTCAAATGCCTTTTTAAATCAGTATACACAGCATCAACTCGACTACCTCTAGCAACAGCAGAAATTATATCAGAATAAAAGACAAGCAAATTAGTGACAGTTGATTTGGAAGTTCGAAAACTATGTTGAGAGCTAGATAATATATTTTTAAAAACTACAGATAATTTATTTTCTACTAGTTTCTCAAACAGCTTAGGCAAAGCGTTTAATTTAGATATTGGTCGATAGTTAAGTATATTTGAGTTATTCCCTGATTTAAAAACAGGAGAGATATAACTTGACTTCCATCTACTAGGAAAGATCCCAGAGGACAATGATAAGTTGAAGAGGAAGTGTATTGGACGAGAAAGTGAATATCAACATGCATTATAAACTATATCAGGAACGAGATCTGGTCCATATTTAGTGATTAAGTTAAGCTTTGTTAACGCATCAAATAGCTCAGCAATGGTTAAAGAATAATAGGACAAAGTGTTGAGATGAAAATCTTCATAGGAGTTAAATAAAGTTGGATTATCCGAAGCGACATAATTAGAAGAGAAAAAATCACTAAACATTTAGTTATATCATTTATATCTTCAGACCATTTGCCATTTAGTTTCATACAATTTGGTAATGAGCCGTTTTTCTTTTTATCTTTGACAAACTTCCAAAAGTACTTGGGATCATTGATAAGACTTTTTTGAACAGCATTTAAATAATTAGAATAGCATTGCTTAGATAAAAATTTACACTTAGCTCTAGTTCCCGAGAATTCATTATAAATTACTTGAGAGCCTGTGCGTTTAAATTTTTTATGTAATTTATTTTTTTTATGTATTAAACTTCGATTTAATGTAACATTGGTGTTTAAATATTTAGTTTTTTAAATAATATTGTCTTATAATTGTAATAAATTAAACAATTTTAGCGCTCAATATAAAATGAAGGCCGGAGCATGAAAACTTTCCGATAAACTTGAAAAATATCTGATTAGCTTCCGCAAGATTTTTTTAGAGCTTATCTTAGACGTTATAACCAGTCAGTAAGAAAGTTTGCAAAAGCATAAGTAAAAACTTATTGGGCTAGCTTTTATGAGCGAGTAAAAAATACCGTAGAATACGATAATTTACACAATTGTGTTCAAGGCTTACCGCTCAAGATTATATACTTCATTTATAAAAAGATAGTTGTTTATGTAGACATGTATGAAGTATATTACATACCTGGAGTTGACCCTAAAACGATGAAAGCAATAAAATAAACAAACATCATCGTGTTATACGTGTTAATTTGAAATATGAACACTATAAAAAAACACTTAGAAAAACGCTACACCGTCCATAGGTATTGTACACTGATTGAAATATATTGTTTTATATAAATACCTCATTATTGTGTTGCATAGTCTTTAAACCAATAAATGAGTACACAACTGTTATACGTTTTTTGTACAACGCGGGAATGAAATTCGTTCTGCTGTAGCATATTTTTAGCGAAGGTACCTACTAAATCAATACATTTTCTAGGTTTTGGTTATGAATTATTTTTCATATGTATTTTTGGTTTATAGAAAGTTAACAAAACGAATGCCAAAAAAGGCGAACTGTATTTTTTTTCTTAAAGCAAAATATATATTTATAAAACTTGTTCGTTGGGGGAAGATATGAAATTAAGTTACTATACTTTTGTTTTAAACATATTATAATACTTTACATAATATTAAAATGATTTTTTTTTTCTGTTGATATCTCATCAAAACTTCCCTGAACACTAGAATAGTTTTCTATTTAACTGATAGATCATTAGGTTTTTCTAAAAAAAAATTAGTACTCTGAGGGAGTGAAATATCACCCTAATCACCTACTGTAAATACGACACTAAATTAAATAATGATCTATAATGATTAGTGTAAACAAGTATCATAAACTAAACATTAATCATAAGGGCAGAAAATATGGATGAAGCATTATTAAGGAAACGTAGCATTCGGTGTAAAGGATGGTTATAACCGTAAGAGGTTGAATGTGGAGGACTGTAAATTAGAGTATGGTTTCTAGTTCTATAAGAAGGAACACATTTTCTTATATCAAATAAAATATCAGGAACATTCAAGGAACCATTGAGAACAGATGAGATGAATTTAAAGTCAGCCTCTGTACGACGGGTTGAGAGTAAGGGTATGTTTAAGTTTAAACGAATGAGTGAATAGTGTTGAAGTGGGTGTGCTATTTTTAGTAAATAAGCGACATAGGAGAGAAATCTATTTTGAACATGTTCTAATCTAATCACATATTTTGCTAGGTATAGATGCCAAATAATTCCACTATATTCTAGAATAGACCGAACTAAGGTAAAATAAAGAATACGAAGGCGGTTTGCAGACTTAAACATCGATTTATTGCGTTTTATAAAACTCATCACTTTAGGTGCTTTACTGACGGTAGTATTGATATGATAGTCAATGTTCAAAGACGGTGTATAATATATACCAAGATCCCTCTAAACAAGAAAACTCGCTGGAGAGCAATATCATTAAGAAAATAAGAGTAGGAGATGGGATTACGTTGCCTGGTGAAAGTCATAATATGGCATTTGTGTATATTAAGCCTAAGTCCAAAGTGTTCGACCCAAAAATAAAACATGTTAAGCTCAGATTAAAGCGTGAGACAGCTTTCCTAGTCGTACATTTTTAAATAAATTTTTATATCATTGACAAAAAGTAAGAATTTAACCTTACTTATCACTTTGTTTATAGAATGGACAATTAAAATGAAAAGTAGAAGGCTGAGATGACCACCCTGCGAGACACCTGGTGATACATTAGTCATGGTAGATACGGAATTGTTTAACTAGACGTATTATTTTCTGCCCGTTTGGTAAAAGGTTAGCCAAGAAAGCAGCTGGTCAACCACGCCTAGTGCTTAGAGTTCTCTTATTAGGAGACCATGATGAACCGTATCAAAGGCTTTTTTAAAATCAGTTATAATCACATCGACCTGGCTACTGTGTTTTATAACATCAGTCAGGTAAGATGCAAATACAACACTGCTAGTAATAGTTGAATTTCCTTGTCTAAAACCATAGTGTTCATCAACAATTATATGATTCAAGCTTCTTTTTATGTTTGAATAAGCTAGAGACTCAAGAGAGTTTAGCAATATGAAGGATGGTTGATATTGGCTTATAATTTTTAACATAAGATGAGTCACCAGATTTATGGACAGGTGTTATGGACCATTTTTCCAAACAGAAGCGAAAACGCTATCTGTTAAGAAAGCGTTGTCCTGAAAGTTTATTATAATTGCATATTTATAGTAGAATTGACAGTCTATAATAAAATGAATTCAATTTTTTAATGACAAACCCTTTTTTACACCATATATTGTAACATGTTCCCATTTATAACATTCAGCTCAGACCTTAATGCGGGGTATAATATTCACCCGAAAACCAAACAAAAAATCTGCTAACAGAACGCGTAACCAACTTTATTTTCAAATGTTGTCACTACTGGAAAGAGGTAATTGATTAGGGAATTCCATAATTATTAGGATTTCCATCAGCCAATTAATAACGTCTTGAGTTGGTTGGGATAAATAAAACGTATAATTACAGACAAACGTGATTCTATTTTGTTATGTTTTAAAAATAATATATTATAATCTATAGTCATGTGTGAACATTAAAATTAACGTTTAAAAATATATTTATTAAGCATTAATAATGACAGTCCTCTAAAATAATAATATGCAAAAGACCCTATTGGTTCCACGTAGATGTCAGCCTTTATACGAACGGTAAGAAATTATCAAATAACCGTGATATCGACCATCGCTGTTTTGGTTTGAGAAATCTGATCGGAGCAGGTGCCTCTAAATGTACACATCTAAAATACTACGAAAAAAAAGTTGTTAACAATTTAAATTACACTATTAGATTAATAATTATATTACTTTGTCATTTTTATTTGATGAGTGAATACCAGTAATTCGTATATACACAACCAGCATGGGTTCAAATTTCAACAACTGCCACGATCGAGCCGACTCATTAGATTTATCTGCAACCATGTCCCATTCTTCGTTATTGACCGAAACTTCAACAGTGTAACCGTAGGCTAACCCACGGAAGCTTAAAAGCAGCATTCTATAAATAATGACAATAGCAATATAAACTTAGTCTTATTACCAGAATTAGGATAATATAATTTTTTAAATATCGAAAAGTTGTATTTCAGGCACAATTAATATAAATATTAAATTATAGAAACCATAGTAATTAAGTTGAATGTCATGTAAGTTATTACCTCATTGAACTAAGCATATACGGTTGGGCAAGTTGGACCTTTATACACTCCCTTTTCAGGTAATGATATGAAAAATATCGAAACTTTTCGTAGTATTTTAAGTTGTCATCCAAAATGACGTGATTTGACAATATCGATTTTCCTTCGATTACAGTTGCACTCATAGAAGATGAAGCAACATTGTGCCTAGGAGCTAACAGAATAAAACAAGTCAGTTAGACAAATACGTTTTCTTAAATTATTATAGGAATAAGTGCGTGTTGTTCGTACCTATGAATCCGTTGTTAATTTCTACCAAGTGCATTTGTTCTGTATTGTACATAACTTTCAAAAAATCAAAAGTATTAATACTATCATTATTGATGCCAACAATTCGTATGTATCGGACAAGTATTCGGTTAATCCACAAACGTTGAATTGACAGACAATGATAATTTGAATGATCTATTACGCGCAACCAAACGTTCTTATCTGTTGATACTTCAATGTAATAGGAGTAAGTCCTAAAGAATTAAAAAAGTCGATAAAATGAAAGGTTGCGTTTATTTTTATAAATAAAGCAATTATTTTTAAACTATTGTGCGAAAATAATTGGAATAATGATTTAAAGGCGTACCAAACTGATTATTCGGTGAAAAAACAATGTAGTAGATAATAATTTGACATTTTATTCATGTTTAAATTAAATTATTTTGTGGACTAACCAAAACTATTATTATTGTACAATATAATTAGTGATAAAAATATATATTTTTCCCCAAATTGTTATTAAAATAAAATGATATTAAATCAATAATGAGAAATATTAAAGTAAAAAAAGTAACCTCGTATTGGATCCCAAAATGATTATGGATAAGTTTCAATAATTTTTTGAGAATCTATTAGACAATCAAACAGACGACGAAATGAACAATATAGATGGAACTTGGAGACCGGCTGAGGAACAAATATATACTACAGTGAAACCAAAAGTGCCAAAACCTAGTTTGGAAGAGGTTAAATCAATAGTGGACTCATTTAAGAACAACAAAGCATCAGGATAGGACAACATAGACTCGGAGTTACTTAAACTTGCAGGACGGGACCTCTTAAAAAACGTACATAAAACCATCTCAATTATATGGAAGCAAGAAAAACTAGAGAAGGATTGGAACACCGCTGTTATTTGTCCGATTTACAAAAAAAGGGGACCCCAAGAAAGCAGGGGCATATCCCTATTGGACACTGCTTACAAGGTCTTGTCAACAGCCATTTTACATAGACTCGTAAAGTATTCAACAGAAATAATAGGTGAATATTAATGTGGTTTCATGCAAAGCAAGTCCAAATGTGACCATATATTGATCCTTCGGTAAACTATGGAAAAGTTCTACGAATATGACAAAGATCTACACATGATATTCATCAATTTCCAACAAGCTTATGACAGCATTATTGGATACTGGCTATGGTCAGCACTTAGTCTTTTCGGAATAAAGTGTTGCTATTCAAGCGCATTGTGTAAAGTGCGTTTTCTTGGAGAAACATCAAAGGAGTTTGAGGTCAGACGTGGATTGAAACAAGGGGACGCGTTATCTTTCAAGAGACACAAAGAAAAAACTATACATTGCCTACTTACACCCCATAGTTATGTACGGGTGTGAAACGTGGTCCACGACGCTAGGTGACGAGAATAAACTATAGACCTTCGAAAGGAAAATACTTAGGAAAACTAATGGATTTATATTAAACCTTAATATTGGTGTATACGAGAGGAGAAAAACGCTGACTTAAACAGACTGTATAATGCACCTAATTTACAAGATTTTTTGAGGTCGAAAAAGTTAGATTGGGCTGGTTATGTATGGCTAGCGAAGGTTGGATTGATTAGACAAGTACTCAATAACAAGCCAAATAAAAAACGACCTGTGGGAAGACCAAGACAACGGTGGATGGACCGAGTTAAAGATGACTTATAGAGATTAAGAAATGAAGCGAATATTGAAGATCCAGAGTATCGAGAAGGTTATAGGGCTCTGGTAGAAGATGCAAAGCGCCTTAATAGCGCGTGAAGCAAATAAAAGAAGTAAAAACATACTCAGCTTTCTTGCTTAACTTAATTTCGATATAGTTGATATTCGATGGATGATCTAACATGATCATGGTACCGCCGTCAATTTGGGAAGTTTTTTTCAGAGTACCTTGCGCAAAATTCACATTGGGTTCTACAGAATAAAGTAGTTGATACTACATAATTTACTTAACATATATTATAAACATTGAGCATACCTAATTGCCCTTGATAATTATCGAGTGCACGTATGAAGGACTCTTTTCTTGAATTTATGACATCCAAAATAATTGTATCCGAACGAACTAACTCTGATTGCCTAACTTCAGACAGTTCTTTATCATCCATAAGCTCATATCTAATGGCAGATAAAATTTTGGTTTTGTCATCATTATCCAGTTCGTCTTGGTTCTTATTGATCCAGTGACAAACCGCACGGAATATATTCAATTGGTTATCATACGCTGTGTCACGGTTAAGAACAAGAATTACTGCTTCCTAAAAATAAATGTTTCTGTCACAACTAGTTTCTTAACACAAGCAATATTTATATAATGATATAAAATATCATTACAGGCGTCAAAGCGACAGAATCTTCAGATTGCAATACGTCCAATGCGTAGATGACGATATAGTTGAGCGCATCGATTTCGAGTTCTTTGATTTGATAGTAAAGTGCCACAGCAAACAACGAACTTATATTGTGTACATTGAAGTTCCTCCGCAAATACTCGATCAGTGAAAATTGTAAGTTTGTAAAACCATATATATTCGATAGAATTAATAATTCCAAAATAACATTACTCTAAACAAAAAAAATTTACATTGAATGTGTATATAATATTCATTCGCTGAATTATATATTTCATTTTTTTGACCTTTATATACCGGTCATCTAAGTCGACTATACCTTACCTCTAGATTACCTAAATTCAATCGACCAGAATAAATATACTGGAGAAGTACTTTAACTGAGGCTACTGATCCTTCTTTTACTGGCACATCCTTTAGACGGGATTCTTGATGATCTCCATACAGTAATGCGCTAAAAAATATTTATTTATTTAAGTTTAAACAATTACATAAAAATACTAAAATACAATATTTCGTGGTTCGTAAACAAATAGTATGTTACAATAAGAATACAATGTGATAGTGTGATACAATATAGTGAGAATTATTAACTAGAATTGTTAAGTATTAAATTACAATAAGTTTTAAACGAGTGAAAGTTGGATGAGATGAACGTATCAATTTTTAATTCATTTATGGTTTTCATAATTTTTTTGCTTGGGGTATTACTTGCAAAATTATTTACTTTTATGTTTAGATAAAATATATTTTTAGACCGAGTACTTCGTGTAGGAACGTGGAAAGAAAAACAACTTAAAAATGCAGGACAATCAATAATGCCGACAAAAAGCTTATATGAAAAATATAAATCTAAATGAAAACGACGTTGTTCTATTGTTTCGAGGTAGAGAAGTGACAAAATTGAAGAGTAAGAAGAATGAGGTTCCCTGGGTATTGAACATTTAAATGAAAGAAAGCGCAAGAATTTTCGTTGAACTTTTTTTAATTTGCATTTAGGACCTAATTGGTAAGGAGACCATATTACTGATCAATATTCACAAATAGAACGTATCAAAGGGCAGTATAAGGATTTTAAGGTATGTTTATCAGTAAAGTCGGCACAATTTCGATTAATAAAGCTTAATATTTTATTTGACTTGTTAATATTGTTATTAATGTGACAATCAAATTTAAGTTTCGGGTCAAAAAGAATACCAAGGTCCTTAAGAGGTCCCAAAGTCCGATGTAGTATTTCATCATTGATATAATAAATAAAATTTGGAACCACTCGAGCCCCGGAAAAAGTCATTAACTGGCATTTATTCATATTAAGAGAAAAATTATTAATAGTACACCATTTGTAAAAAATTATCGAGTTCAGACTGAAGTAAGTTTTGATATCATCAGCAAACATTAATTTAGTGCAATTTTGAAAAGTAATGTCATTAATGAAAATAAGAAATAAAATTGGTGCTAAGTGGGATTCTTGAGGAGCTCCCGATGTAACATGTATTGGATTAGACCAATACTCTTTATAAGCTACTATTTGAATGAAGGACATAAGCCAAGATAAAATAGAGCCACAAATACCAATCTGTTTTAGTTTTATAAATAAGATTTTATGATTAATTTTATCGAATGCCTTATTAAAATCAGTGTATACAACATCAACATTAAAACCGTTAGAAAGGACGTCAGATACATAAGTATGAAAATTAAGTAGATTAGTAATCGTACTCTTATTTCGTCTAAAACCATGTTGATCATCTACGGTTACATTATTTAATTCAAATGAAACTTTATTAGCAACTATAGATTCAAATACTTTAGGTATGGGGGATAGCAGCGATATTGGCCGGTAACTAGAGATATCTGATACATCAAGAGATGACTTAGGAATAGGTAGAATAAAACTAGTTTTCCATGCATCAGGAAAAATACCAGCGGAGATAGATAGATTAAACAAGTATAATTATGGTGGAGAAAGAACATAGTTACAATTTTTTAATAATATACAAGGAATTAAGTCAGTACCAGGAGAGGAGTTTAAAGTTAAAGAGCTAAGAGATTGGAGTACCTAAATTAAATCAATAGAACAAGAGTGTATAGGGAAAGAAAGAACTTTAGGGGGGTTATGTAGTGGATTAAGTAATATTAACACAGTCATAGTTTTCATAAACACTATAAAAATAGTTTGCAAAAGCATAAACAATTTCATTAGGAGTGTTAAGCTCTTCATTACTTAAATACATGTTATTTGGTAAAACATTTTTTTACGTTTATCATTGATAAATTTCCAAAATTGACTTGGTCGGACTTTTAAATTTTTTGAATTTTTGTTATGTAATTTTGATAATCTTTTTGATAAAAATTTACATTTAGCACAAAGATTAGAAAAAATAATATAATCACACACCAAACCTTATACAACTTATATGCAACTTTTTTCTTAAATATTAAATCTTTTAGATTTTTACTATAATATAAAGGGTAGTTCGATTGATTTTTAATTATCTTAAGTACAAATATATCAATAATTTCATAAATTATGGAATAAAATAAAGTAACAGCTTGATTTATATCATGACCTTTAAATAAACTACTTCAGTTAATCGATGCTAAAGTGAAAGTTAAACCCACGTAGTTGCAATTAAACAAATTATATATACATAAATTATATTCAATGGGTTCATTAACAATTATGGGAATAGAAATATGTAAGCCTAGATAAAAAATATCACATGGAACAAGAGGATAAATATATTTATTTACATA